AATTCCGACCATTCTAGGCGGCTTACAACATAAAATACACAGATAAATATAAAAAGAATTATTACATAATAAACAAATTCAACAAGATGGGAGGCGAACAATAGAAGAAGAGAGGAAAGGAAAACATCAGGAATTAACTGGAGGGAAGGCCTGCCGAAACTTCCACCTTTTTAGTTGATTTTTAAAGATACCCAGCATAGGGGTCGTGCGAATCTCCGGAGGTAGGTTTGTTCCAGAGGTGGTGAGCCACCGCCAAGAAGGCCCGGTTTCTTGTTTTTTCCTTCCGGGCCTCCCTCGGCGTCAGGCTCCTCAGCCTCACCTCCTGACTCGCATGAGTGACACGGGTAGAACTTGGTGGGAGTAGGCGTTCCGCCAAGTATTGAGGCCCTAAACTGTTTAGGGCTTTGTACGTAAGCATCAAAACTTTGAAGTCAGCGCGGAAACGAATGGGCAGCCAGTGCAGCGTGGCCAGAATAGGAGAAATATGATGGAATTTTCTTGCTCCAGTAAGGGGTCTGGCCGCCGCATTCTGCACCACTTGGAGTTTCCGCGTCAAAGGTAGCCCCACGTAGAGCGCATTGTAGTGGTCTAATCTGGAGATTACAAGCACATGAACCAAGGTAGTGAGCACCCCCGTATCAAGATTTTACATATTTCATGGTATGGTAATCATTAAAAATGTCTGAAACAGTAACCCTTTCTTCCAGATTGAAGATTATGTGGCTTTACTTTAGTTAGTCATTTACCATCACATCATCTGGCTTTTAATGTTGGCAGTGTGTAGTAAAATCACATCCAGTGGAATGTGCATCATTCTCTTCCATTTCATACACAGAACTATTTCTGGTGTTGTCTTTCTTGGCAGTGATGTGCAGGTAATTGTAGGTAAGGGTCAGAAAAGGTTTAGAGTGTTAAAACACAAGAGGAGTATTCTGGAGCCTTGTGAGAACACTGGTACAGAGAGTATTTGATCCTTTACTCATGCATTTGTAGCCATCTCCTTGTATATTTTTTCTTAGAATTTAAAAAAGTAGCATCCAAATTTTAGAGGAGTAAAAACAACGTTGGTTTTTTTGTTTGTTTATTACATTTGTATTTTGCCTGACTTAGTGCAGAGCACTGCTCAGGGCAGTTAATAACAAAAGATACTCAATACCTCCCCCAATACCAAAAGATCCAAAAAGAATATGGACAAACACATTAAATTAAATAATAAAACCCCCCAAATTTAAGAATACAACAACCATGGCCACTTGATCAGTCATTTTTATAGCTGCATGCACGGCCACTTTTCAAGTGATGCAGTCCAACGCATTTGTGTTACTGGGGATTTTCACCTCATTATTGATGGATTTAGAGCCAGTGTGGTGCACTGGATAGAGCACTGGAATAGGGCTCAGGAGACTTGGGTTCAGATCCCCATTCAGCCATGCAAACTCAGTGGGGGTGGCAGTGATTAATTGCTCCTTGAATATCTCATCTGTCCTGAAAACCACACTGGAATCATTGTCAGTTTACAGTGTAGCAACATGGTAAATGTTTAGTCTACTGTCTCCATAGTAGCCTCAATACAACATGCCTGCGTTTTTGAGTTTATGATACAGTGGCGTCTCGCTTGACGATGTTAATTCATTCCAGTGAAATTGCTGTAGAGTGAAAACATCGTCAAACAAAACGAAAAAAATCCCATTGAAACGCATTGAAAACCCGTTCAATGCATTCCAATGGGCTGAAAAACTCACCATCCAGCGAAGATCCTCCACATGGCAGCCATTTTCGGTGCCTGTATAGCGAGGAATCTGTCCTAGAAAACAGCGGGGAGCCATTTTGAAAGCCAGTAGCCTTTTCATAAAGCGAAAAATCGGTTCCTGAAACAGGGAACCAATCAATGTGAAGTGAAATTCCCCCATTCAAAACATCATTTTGCGATCGCAAAAACGTCTACATAATGCGGATTCGTCGTAGAGCGGGGTAATCGTCCAACGGGGCACGACTGTATATAAAATTAATGTGGGACGTCAGAGATCAAATATGTTCATCAGATTCTCAGTGTTCTGTCTGGGTACTATATTCTCCAACATGGAATCAAAGAAGGTTATGGGTTCTACTTTCTATACCTGACACTGATACTCAGAAGAAGAGAATACCCAAATGCACTGTGAAGTTTAGGAGAAAAATTGCACAGAAGTATTTCTAGTAATTGTTCACTTGAATTATGTCTTCAGATGGGAATATGGTTATCAACATGTCTTTAATGTTACAACATTTTGGTATATTACTACATGTAGGAAACAGATAATTTGCCTAGAACTTCATGATTTTTTTAAACATTTCATATTTTTTTTCTCCACCCTCCGGACTGTAGACGTGCTCACCCTGAGCAAGATCCATACGAGTCGAAAGCTAGCATTCCTTTGTGCTTTTTAGTGATCTAATAAGGATATCACATATCTCTGCCTTTGCGTATTAAAGTTAGATAGTATTATTTACCTCAACCTCTTCTTCTACATACATTAAACTTCAACGTGGTGATTCACTTTCTATGGAAAATGAAATGGTTAAGATCTTAGAAACCTGGAGCCAGTCTGTTGGGTTGCCATTCCAATTTTCACATTGCTTTCAAAACTGAAAAGAGTTCAAAAAGCCACCCGTAAAATCGTAAGACATTCAAAGGACAATAGTATGGAGAAGTGATATCTGCATCATTAATGGAGGTTTACTGCACTGAAAAACACTCAGAATTCATCTTTTAATCTGATATCCTCAAGCTCATTGTGGACTTCCGGAGGCATTCAGAGTTCTATTTTCTGTCTATGCCTAACCATGTCAGTACCAACTAGTCCATCTCAAGTATTGTGCTGTGTATCTCATACAAGGAATCCACCTTAACTGTGGGTCTAAAGTGTAGATGAAGTTAAGAAATGAGCAAAAAGAATCCTAACATAGCGTTTAAAAGATTCTTCAAATTTGTTCCAGGTTGGGCTATGCAGGTTTCTGCTTTCATTTTCATTCAAAGGAAATGGGAAGAAGATAGGCATCATTTTGAGAATATGCTGGATTATTTCTGCGACATTCATGAACCCCTGCAGCTTCTCATCTTTCCTGAAGGGACTGATCTCACAGGTATGTTAATTCATTTGTCTTGCTAGTACCAATGTGGAAAATTTGTACCACAGTTTCATATCTTTAAAAATACATCATTTAAAATACAAGTTTGGACTACTGTATATTGGATAGTAACTTTCCAGTTCAGGGTGAAGGAGATGGAAGGTTTTAAGATTTGTCTTTAGATGGCTTGCTAGACAAGACTCATGCCCATTCTTACCAGTGGCACTTGAATTCATTGTATACCAATAAATCAACTGAAGGAGAAATATTGAACTAGAAGTATGAAATGTACTGAACACAATGTATATTTGAAAAGTTTTAAAAGTTTATTTTTCATTTTTCTCCATCAAACAACTAATACAGTACTCTGAAACAATGGCTTGCAGATCAGAAAGCTTTGTTGGGTTGGCATATGCCAGTGCCTTCATGAGGAATGTTTTGTTTTGTTTTGTTTTTTTACTCAGGAACAAATGGCAAATTTGCTCACAGTCGCTGCTTCCTGATGGTGATTTGTATAAACTGAAAAGTGTCCTTCACAATGTGTAGAAAATATATTATAAATACTAAAGAAATATTAACTGACTTGTGAATCATATTCATACTAATCCAAACATTGTAATATTCATGCTCAAACATTCAATGCAAACCTTTAAATATCCATACAAAGATACTGCATTGGTATGAACCACTGCAACTTCTAGTTTCTCACTGGGCACTATAGCAAAAATGTTGTGATCTATTTAGAGTTTGTAGTTAATGGGCATTGCAAGAAGATACAAGTGGTCTGGGAAAAGAGAAGGAAGCAGAAGCATCAGAAAGTTACAGATAACAAAGCAATAGCCACAGGGGGAAAATGTGGGAGTATTTAGGAGAGTGGAAGACCTTAACGTAGCTGCAAGTAGCAAAACTGGAAGATCATAAGGAGATATCCAGAGTTGTTCTGGGTAAAAAAAAAAAGTGGATGAAAAACCAATGTAAGGGTTTTAAAAAGGATGTTGCATGGTTTTAAGTGAAAATTTTGCGAGTAGCTTTCTTGACTGAAGTGAAAAATTGACAACAGAAGCCATGGTTTAAAGTGAGGAAAGAACACATTATGCAGATAGACTATCACTTTCACCATGATAGACTAAATATAGTTTCTAAGAGGAAAGCATTAGTAAGATGAAAGACTGTCCTTAGTTGACTGGAGTGATGGCAATGGATGCAAAGATTAATTATGAGGAAAAATGGGAAGGGTAATTAATTATATACATGAGATTAATGTAGTATTGGAATAATATTTTTGGCTGCTGTATTTCTCTCTGTGTCTCCTATTCTAGCATAGCAACAGTTCTTTATATATCCAACAGGACCATAGATGTCTCAGAATTAATCAGAATGTGCAGTACTGCCAGATTGCTACGTATTTGAGGACATAATTTTTTGTATTGTATGAATGAGAGCCACAAAGTTCAGTTATTCTTAGATTTTGTTGACAAACTTATGCTGTGTAGTGGCATGTAAAAAGTTGGTCTTGTACATTTGTGTGCTCAGTCATGAGCAGAATAAATAACTTTATACGTATATATTCTTGTTGGGTTTGTTTCCAGAAGATGGACAATAAGATTGGTTGCATACTTCATATTATGCGTACTGTCCCCAACAAGTGTATTTGTTTTGTATCATTTCAGAAGGCTTTATGGCTTTTGTTGCTAGGATGTATATATTCAGAATGGAACACAGAACAGAACATTTTATTACATTTTCTCCTGCTTTATACATTGTATTTGTGTATGGTAGGGCCTTCATATTTGCAGGGGATTGATTCCACCCCACCTCCTGCGGAGGCTGAAAACAGAAGATAATAGCAAACACTATACATAGAAAAAAATCCAGAAAAAATATTTTCACATATATTGCCAGAACTAGACACTAGAGGGTGCCAGAGACCGTACTATGTATTCTTCACCAACAAGAATTCATAGCAGAGTCTCTAGCTCCCTGTAGTGGCCAGTTCTGGTAATTCATGTAAAATTGGATTTTTTTTCTTTTAATATTTTTAATATTTTCAGATAAGTGAAACCACGGATACTAATCCCACAGATACGAGGGTTCTACTATATGCTAACTTTTCAGGGTCTCTGAGCAGAGCCTAGGTTTTTTAAACGTGCAAATGACACTACTTCTGTATTTCTTGGAAAGATAATGTAATATTAATTCTATAAAGGAATGCTAAAGACAACTTGGACAGGTTTGTTTTGCATAGCAAGAGGAAAGGAGGAGATGGTATTTCTTCACAATGTAAGAAAATAAACATTTGCTGTGTGCATCAAAGCAACAACACCTTCATGATTGTGTTACACTAGCTTCAAGAGAAACTTCAGTGATAATCCATAGTTGTTTGTTGGCTAATGAATCTAATGTTGGAGGACAGAGTGGGAAATCCTCAGTTAGGACATCATGATAAACAACAGATAGAGACGTCATTTGTTAGGCATTGTGACAAACCCAGACCTACTGGGATCTGTCACACAGTTACACTAAGCTGCCCTCCGCTGGAGTCAGGAGTAGACAAGGAGAGTGATTATGCAGTGTGCAACAGTGCTCTTGCTTGAGCTTGATAAGCCAGCATTCAGATGGAATCCTAGTTTACTATGGGGCCTGTGTTTGGCTACCATTTTGTGCCTTTACACAGTTGTCTCTGGAGATTGAGCATACTAAACATTGCAAATTCTTCCCATGAATAAGAGTACAATTGATATTTAAGTGCCTGAAGATTTTATTTTCTTGTCCGGTTCATATGTATTAATGGATTAACCATTCTTGTTTGGGAGCAGTTGCAATTTGCTTGGCTGCTGGATTAATTGGGGAATTTTACTGGGGACATTTTGATGGGGTTTGCATCAAGTGTTTTTTTGGATAGTGGAGACTGCTGGCTTAGATTGCAAGGTTGTTCTTGATTCTTCTTCACTCTTATCTATGTCTTCTTCCTGGATTTCTACCGTACCTACTTGTTTACTGGCTTGCCCTCCACAGAGAGCTGGAGTAACGTCTACTAGTTCAGTGGTCCCAACCTTTGGCCTCCAGATGTTCTTGGTCTACAACTCCCAGAAACCTTTGCCACCACCTCTGCTGGCCAGGATTTCTGGGAATTGAAGTCCAAGAACATCTGGAGGCCCAAGGCTGGGGACCACTGTACTAGATAACATGTTTTCCGTGAAATTTCAGGGGCATGATTCTTCAAAGACCTAATGGTTGTTCTGGGTTTTTCGGGCTCTTTGGCCGTGTTCTGAAGGTTGTTCTTCCTGACGTTTCACCAGTCTCTGTGGCCTCTGAAGATGCCGGCCACAGAGACTGGCGAAACTTCAGGAGGAACAACCTTCAGAACACGGCCAAAGAGCCCGAAAAACCCAGAACAACCATTAGGTCTTTGAAGAATCATGCCCCTGAAATTTCACGGAAAACATGTTATCTAGTACAGTGGTCCCCAGCCTTGGGCCTCCAGATGTTCTTGGACTTCACGTAGGTTCTGTTACTGCCATCTGGGGCTGGATCCTACAGCTTATAAAGGTAGAAGGACTAGCTTTGGCCCCAAGGCTCCAAGTCTAAGTCCTGCCAGCTTAACCTTTTGATTATGCTCTATGTAACAACAAATTGATGTGGAGAATACCATTTTTATTTATTTACATAAGACAACAAAGCAAGTATCTCATGGCATTATTAATCTGTAGAAAAATGCTGTTTTGTAATCTCCTTGATCTGCTGTCCTACTGATGTGCTGTGTAATGCAAAAATGTTCCAAAGCTTAGTCACTTCACTGATTTTAATCAATGTTTTTCATACTGTTATCTTTATAGACCACACCAAAGCCCGCAGCAATGCATTTGCTGAAAAGAATGGACTTCAGAAATACGAATACGTCTTGCACCCAAGAACTACAGGCTTCACTTTTATAGTGAAACGTTTAAGAGATGGTAATGACCCTTCAGATGTTTTTTCCTTACTCTCAAAATATCTGAAAAAAAAATTAATTTGGTCAGTTTTGAATTTTTGTTTTCCTCTCTCTCTTTCTTTCCATACGGTACCATATATAAAGAGCCTTATACATCCTTATGATTCCCTGATACAGAGGCTGAATTAGAGATGCTGTGATTGGGCCACATTAGACCACTTCAGAACAATACAAATGCAGAAATAGGTGATATTTTTATTGGACCATATGGCCTTGTCCTGACTTTTTTCTGAACTTTGTAAGATACTATAGAATGGCTGGTCATGGCACCTGAGGGCCAACATGAGTTCCTAAACATCATGGACTTTTGAAACCAGAGAAGCAGTGCTGCATGCTGTGGAAAGTATCCACCAAGTAAAACTATTGATTTGGCTTTAATTTGACTGAAATTGGCTGTTCCTGGACACCTGAAGGCCAACATGAGTTCCTGAACATCATGGACTTTTGAAACCAGAGAAGCAGTGCTGCATGCTGTGGAAAGTATCCACCAAGTAAAACTATTGATTTGGAAGAGAAGCAGGGTTGCATGCTGAGGAAAGTATCCACCAAGTAAAACTATTGATTTGGCTTTAATTTGACTGAAATTGGCTGTTCCTGGTAGTTTAACTAAATTTTTAGTCCCAACGCTGATGGAGGCTGGCTATGCTTTTGTTACCCTGCTGATTTTCTATAGCTAAACAGAAACCCTGTGACTTTCAAATGAGGGGAGAAATGAAGGGGAGGGAAAGCAGATTGTGGGCCACCTTTTGTTTAGAGAGATGGGTCATACATTCCAAACCACTGGCTCTTGCAGACTGTGAACTACAGCTAACTCCATCTAAGATGTTTTGTCTCCCCCTCCCCCAACAGTGGCCATGAAACTTTTGGGACTTTAATATAACCATAATATTTTGGAACTACCCACGAGAACTTTGTGCAGAGTCTGAGGGAGGCAAATTATCATCAAAAGCTCGCTCTGGCTCCCCCCCCCCTTAATAGTCCAAGAAAGGTATCACCTATTCTTGCATTTGTATAATTAGTTGTCAGTACAGGTGACTTATATGAACAGAGTAACCAGGCAATAGTTTTGATAGACAGTAAATCTCCCAAAGCCTTTCAAAAATCTTTTCAGCTTCTCTGACTTTCATATACATTGCCATGCCTAGTGCATGTGTTTCTGGTTAACAAAGTGAAACCTACAATGTTCCCTGTGGTATTTTGGAGACCAACCAGCTTTATTTGACATAAGCTTTTATGGAATATTGCTTCTTCAGATGCATCATCATTGCTGCTTCTTATTTAATATCCAGATTTATCTAATATGGTGGCTTTCCAGGAAAAGATTATCATGCATCTGAACAACTAAAGAATGATATTTTTAAGTTATCAAAAGGTTCACTACCACGTTTGTTACAATAGACTACAAACAAGGCTATTTCTCTAGAAATGAATATGTGAAGGCAGTTTGTGGAAAGATCTGCTTTCACAGCAGCTCAGCCTATCAAGTTATTGGCTCAATTCGCTTATACAGTGGTGCCTCGCTTAACAAAGGTGCCTCGCGTTGGCCCCAATGGGCGAAATTCGCATAGCGAAGATCGGTAAGCGTTTCACTTACCGACCTTCGCTTTGTGACCCGCGGATCAGCTGTTCAGCGGGTCCAAAATGGCCACCGGAACACCCGAAATGGCCGTGGGCAGCGTTTTCACGCCCTTGGTAAGCGAGGGGGAGGGCGCGAAAACGCTGTGCACGGGCATTTCGGGTGTTCCGGCGGCCATTTTGGACCCGCCGAACAGCTGCTCCGCGAACAGCTGATCCGCGGTCTCGCTGCAGCTGAAATGGCCGCGCGCAGCGTTTTCGCGCCCTCCCCTCGCTTACTGAGGGCACGAAAATGGCTGCCGGACCCGGAAAACATCACTGTACGGTGAGTTTTTGATCCGTACAGCGATGTTTTTGCATAGCGAAGGTTAATCCGGAACGGATTAACCTCGCTATGCGAGGCACAACTGTATTTGTATATTAATATGTTGCTGTTTTATTAATAGTACCAAAGTTGATGCTAGCATACATTTTCTGTGATTTTATTTGAATGATCCAAGTCCACTACATTGTGTTTCTGCATCCATTGTTGTCCATACATAACCATTATAGCTGTGTGGGTCTTTTCTGATAAGATATAGATACTGGTTTTAGTGGGACTCTGGGGTAATGAAAACAGTAAGAGCTTTGTTAGTGATAGGCATCCACTCTTCATTTTGTGGTGTTTTGTAAACATAAATGGATGGATGTTCCACCAGTGAGACACTGAAATGATCATCCTTGTCTGTCTACTTCCTCTATTTACTGCATTCTCTTTGGTGCCAAATTCAGTTGTCCCATGTTAAAACAACACATTGGTTGTTCATAGTGATGTTTTTCTAAGTTATTATAGCCTGCAAAACTACTCATAGGAATTCTCCCTTTTCTGGCAGTAAATGCAGTTAGGATCTGACGGGAATGTTAGGTAAGATACTGTTACAATACTGAAGGGAGTCCCAAATGAGCATCACAATAAAAGGAGTTAATGTAAAATGCAGACATAGCCTAAGAATGGCCTAGTCTGATCACATCTTGGCACAGCTTGAATTCAGGTCATTTTGTTCAGCCAGTTTTTAAATCCAAGATGATTATTTTTATTGAGAGGTTAAGTAAGTGCATAATATAAAAGTCTTTTGAATGTTCCTTCAGTTACCTGTCTGCAGTTCTCTTGCAAATAAGGTTTAGAAATATTTCTAGCATTGTCATCAAAAGTCATTGTGCTTATGACAGACTTTTTGAAATAACTTTTTTCCTCTACAGGTACCAGTTCATACATAGTGACAAGGAAAAAAGCATTTTGAAATTAATCACCTACAGTGTAAATTGGCCATTAGCAGATTCAAATATATCTATACCAAATAAATATCAATGTCAGGTTAATTAATATCTTTGTTCTTTTAAAGCAGTTAAAGTTATGCCAGAAATTCACTTGCTAGCCTATTGGCCAAGCATTAGGTGTAGGTCACGCTAGATCAAAAAGATCACAGAATTAAGAACAAGGTAACGTTATTGTGGTTAAGTTTTCAATATCATGCCTGTATCTCTACAGACCTCTCCCCCACCCCCACCCCCGGTACAGAAATGACAACCTTAAATGCCTTATGCTTTTTCCTTGAATAAGTTTTGGCTCATGGCAGTTTTCCATTCCTCAGGCTGAAATGCATTCCCTTCAGGCATAAGTACGTTATTTAGCTTCAAAAATAGGCCGGTGGTGAAGGGGAAAAATGTCATGAAAAGTTTAATTGCTTTTTTAACTTTGCAAAAATTAATTTCATTTGTCAAGAAGCCCTGATTAATCTGTATTGTGGCCTGCCATATGAATGAATTACCTGTTATATTATAAATGCCACTGCTATATGAACCGTAAAAATACTAAAGGAGTATCTGAAGCAATAACCTTTAAAATAGAACTGTAGTTATCTTTTTCTATTGACCATTAGAAAGTGTCTAATATTCAGTGAGGAAAAATATTGAACTTTACTTCCTCTGCTTTGTTTGCTGAAGTTTACTTTGGTCTTAAAATTACATTAATAGATAACCTTTTTCTAGGCAGAGCAGCGTTTATTTATAAATACCTGACCTCTTATTGAGTGGAATTCAGCTTGCACTGTCATTCTTTTGATTTCTTGCAGGTGTTAGTTGAGCTCACAACAAATGGATTCTTGAGAGGGATGTTTCTCAATTCCATAGCTGGTCCCCTTCCTGTATTTCCAGACATCTTTTCTATCTGAGTACAAAACTATTCTTTAAATAGCATTCTCACAGTTCAGGACTTCTGGGCTCTTCACACACACCCCGGCAGTATTTGTCCTATGTTAAATTAGTTCTGACCTGAGGCACTTGCCATCTGTACCTGTGTTAGCAGCACATTGTAGTTACTTTTGGTAGAATCTCACTCACCTTTAGGGAATTTCCCCCTCTGTTGCTTACAGCAATGGGTGAAGGCAGCTCTTTTCTCCTGACTTTGCTGTTCAGGACTAAATATAATATGTCCAAAACTCTTAATTGAAAACTAAACATTTCACATATATAAATGTTAGTTGGTTTGCTAGGGTATGTCATCACCTTCAATAATGTAGGAACAGTCTTGCATTGAGATATCTCCTTTTTCTTTTGTTTCCATGCAAGCTGTAGCATTGCAAGATAATACTCTCCAGCTTGGCATCTAGGCTGTGTCTGATAAGGGTAATCTGTTACACAGCAATGGTGTTGGAGATATTTCTGGGCATGGAGATGGTATTGGTCATGTCCTTATAAAATAATGGGGTTGGGGGATGGGCATCAACAGGCTGTTTGCTCAGGGGCTTCAATAGGAGAAGCATTGATTTAATACAAATAAATTTATTGTCATTGTAAGTCTATACATAGTGTACACATAGAACGAAATTCACACAGACACGCAGAGACCAGACCCACATGGACATATATAAAAAAATCCCCAAACACTCCCCACCCACTAAAAATCCCCCACTAAAAATCCAAACATCTGCACCGCAGGCTAAGTAACACTTCCAACTATTCATTACTGGTGGTCTTTAAGTTCATTATTAAGTGCAATTATAGCTCTGGGATAAAAACTATTCAGAAAAACGTGTCATCTGAGTCTTAATTGTTCTGTATCTTCTGCCAGACGGCAACTTTTACCGACTGCGTACAGTATTTCATATGCCAGATGACAGTTTTTTCTACCATATATGATTTACACTTTCTTTAACTACTGCGTATTTCATATGCCACATGACAGTTTTTTTCTACCATATATGATTTACACTTTCCAGCAGACTAGCACCCCTTCCAGTCGCTGAAACAAAAGAGCACTGCATGCCATATATAAAGCTAAGAAGTGGACACACTTCCTGCAATGAACACTTGTCCACTTTGTATTCTTCCCAAAAATTGAGCATTGCC